TAAGCAAATGCCAGTTAGCTGGATCTGTGATTGCCAGGTGAAGCTAGTGCAGGGAATACGCAGCAGCAACCCAGTTGTATGCCTAAAAGGAAGAATTCTATGCTCCCAGAAGAGGTGAGACACATTGCTGGAGAAGAAAAGGCATTCCCTGGGCTGTGTGGCTGCCTGATGTCCTTTCCTGTGCATACAATTGACAGGCATTTCTGCTATGAGCCAGACATACTACAAACAATTAAAACGACATAGTCTGCAGATCAGACGAGTACACAAAGCAGAGCATTATGTTCATTAAGTAAAACCTAGTCTTTTTATGACTGATGACAAATTTTGTTTTAAGGGGAGGCCATTTTTAACTGAAAAAGGAGCAGCCAAGGGAAGAAAATCATGAGCATCTCCATTTCGGCAGTTACAACAAAATCCATCAGTGAAATTTTACAAAACACAGCCCTACATATGCATTTTTTGGCACTGCCTAGGGCAAGAATTCCCGAGTGGCTGTATATGTACCACTGAGAGTATATACAGACACCTTGGTGTGGGAAAAAATACAGCTCAGAACCAGGCCCTGTTACCACTGTCAGTACAAACAAGTAAGGAATCTCTCAGTGAGAAATTTCACTCAGTTAAAAAAGATTTGTATAATAATTTGGTGGGGAGGTTGTACTTTAAGTCATTTTTTTCTGCATTAATTATTTCCTCTATGCTTTTCTATTCTGTAAACTCGTTCAAGACTATTCCACAGTTGATAGGTCAGCTCCCTTTAAGGTGATTTAAAACAAGATAGTTTTAAAGGTCCCTTCCCACCCAAACCATTCTATGATTTTTATTTTTTTTTCATGTCTGATAATGTATTTACAGATTATACATAGTTTGATGGCTTGTGTTTTTCCATCATTTTGAGGTAGAAAAATCCTGGAAGTGATTCTTTCAAGTCTGCTGAAAGATTCCATTTAGGGCACTGATCATGTCACAGCACAAGTGACTGACTGGTTCACTGATTTGAAACCAGTTCAGTGTGTGGTTATGCTCTCTCTCCCCCTTGGCCCCCTGTGTTCATGTCTGTAACCTTAAAAGCTCATAGTCTCATTGCATGTGTCCTTAAAGGGTTTACTACAATAAGATTTCATCTATTGGTGCTATTTGAATAGAAGTTACTGTTTTATAGAGTGATCATTACAGTCACAGAAATTACAGGATTTGTGAGGAATAAGGCATATGGACACAGATTTTCAACTTTCATTTAACTGCTACTGCAGCGTTTTGAGTTTGGGACTATTGTAATTTCATGTCATCCCTACCACATCCTTTCTTCACATCGCCACTTGAAGAGCACCTTCTGTCTCTGCTGTCACTCCCCAACTGTCTTGACAGCCTCCGCAGAGTCACTGCGGGCTGGGGGGTGATGCTCATGTCTTGGCTCTGCATTCCCCAGTGTGGTTTCATGAACTTGGAAGGAAGGCCAAGTTAACATTTGTAACACAAGTTAATATTTAAAACAACTTGCCTTTGTTTAATAGAAATCACCTCTTTGTATGACTGAACTGTAGAGCTGCAACATTGCTATATAATTCAATGTTCTCACATGCAGAGCCCCCAGGAGAACTGGTGACATCTGGTAACTATAAAAGCAAAGCTCCAATGAAATTTCAGCGTTATCAGAAACCTGACATGGGTACAGCTTCATTCAGGATTTCATTAGCTCTGTGTGTTACTTTTAAAACCAGTCTACTTCCATATGAGCTTTATATAAATGCTACAGTAGTACAAGAAATCAGGAGGTAATTAGCTATCGGTCGGTGGTCTGGCTGAGTTGTTTCTGTTGTGTTTGTTTTTATTTTAATAACAATCCTATGGGAGGATTTTTCCAAGAGGGATGAGGAACACAGTGTCCAGCAGCATGCACTTAAGTAGTGTCACTGTGTTGATTTTCCGTATTTGAGCCTTATCAGATAAGATTTTAGAAGAGTTTGTTACAGCTGCTGGAAATGTGTGAGTGGGGTTCTCTTCAGCAACAAAATAGCCAGGAGTGTTGTGTTTTGTCATCTAACGTGTGCTTTAGTAATGGTTTCTTTAGCACCCGTTCAAGAGAGATGGGAAATTACTGGAGTAGAGTCCAGCAGAGAGCAACAAAGATGATTAGGGGATTGGAGCATCTCCCTTGTGAGGAAAGGCTGAGAGAGCTGGGACACTTTAGCCTGGAGAAGAGAAGGCTGAGGGGATATGTTATGAATGCCTATAAGTATCTGAAAGGTGGGTGCAAAGAGCATGGAGCCAGTCTCTTTTCAGGAGTTCCTAGTGAGAACAAGGGGCAACAGGCACAACCCGTAACATGGGAAGTTCACTTAAAAATCAGAAGGAGCTTCTTTACTGTGAGGGTGACAGATGCTGGAACAGGCTGCCCAGGGAGGTTGTGGAGTCTCCTTCTCTGGAGGTATTCAAGACCCACCTGGATGCAGTCCTGAGTAATGTGCTCCAGGGGATCCTGCTTTAGCTGGGGAGTTGGACTAGATGATCTCTAGAGGTCTGGTCCACCTCTTGACAATTTTGCTCTGTGAGCAAAACAGTAAAATAACAAGATTCATTGCAATAATGCAGCTGGGGTTTTGTGCTGAGAATCAGTTCCTTCTCTCACATGCAGCCAGGTGAGGTGTGTTGCTTTTTGGGGCACACTAGCAGCCAACTAACGAGTCTGCAAGATACTGAATGCATGTATATGTAAAATGCAGTACAAAGTCATAGTTAAAATTAAGCCTACTGTAGATACATAGTAATGATTTTCTGCTTTTTTTACATTTGCTGTTGATGTGTATTGGTTGCTGGTTTTATGCCATCCACCTTTTGATTGAATCAGAGACCAAGTTACCATTCTCCAAGCTGCCAACTCACAAACTAGCTGCTGCTTTTTTAGCAGTCAACTTAAGTACTTCTGGAAAACAGCTTAATTTTCCCATTCTTCTCCTTTCTTAAGTAGGTTTGCTGATTTTTTCCATCATGCATTTAAAAGTCCATTCCTTTTCAAGAAAGTATTGTTACTGTTGTGGTTGATTAATTTAAATACACGTAAATGTAAATTAAGTAGAATCTAATTCTCTTAATTCCGGTTAGTTGCATGTCATGTATTTATATATACCTAGAGATTTCAGTGTTGGGTGATCAAGCCCTAGATCTCTCAGATGCAGGCTGTTTATGCTCAGAGCTTGATTTCTTCCTCACTGCGGTGCCCAGTAATGTGTTTAGATGTCCTACAAAACTAATAACAAGGGAAAAACATTGCTCTGCAGATCTTCCAGTCTAATTTGGATGCAGCAGGAGGCCCAGCAGCTCATAAACTAGACCAGGGCTTAAAGAGCAAATACAGGATAAGAATTGGACCAGGAATTAAAGAAATAATGCTGCAGTTTTTCAGGTGTCGTGGGTTTTTTTCCGCGCTTTATTTTTATGCCTTGTAATCCTATGTAATTCTGCTCCTGAGTGGGCCTGCCACTTCGTAAGAAGTGTCCAAAGCATCCCCCGAAACTGGGACAGTGCCAGGAAAGGAACGTAGGGTCAGGAAGTGAAAGGATGGAGGTTGTTACCAGGAAGAGGAGAAAAAAAGTGGCAAAATAAAGTGTGTAGTGGGAGAGGATCGCAGAGAAATATATATCTTTGTTTCAAATGTGGGAGGCATTCTGTTTCTCAGCTTGTTTTTGCTATCTATCTACAGTAATAACTGAGCTAGCTGCAAAAAGCATCTTGAAAATAATTTGAGTGAAAGAAGGAAAGCATTACTGTGGAGCGAGCCCAAAATCCCATCCTCCAGCCCCCACACAATTGGACATTGCAGTGATAGGGGGGAAATCCCTTAACGGACAAAACTATAAATGAAACTACTGTTGACAAGGGGAAGAGGCACAGCTATATATAACAGAAGTATTTTCATTTGAGAGCTGCTTTCTTTTTTTTTCTTTTTTGTTTTTTTTCTTCTTTCTGGTCTAGTCAGTGGAGACTGAGAAGGGCTCTTCCTGTTTGAGACAGTGCATGGGTGTTTTCCCCAAGGCTTTTAATGTTAGATTAATGCTCTGGAGACAGTGTGGTGATAAATAGGTTCCTACAGTTATATCTACATCCTGTTCCCCCTTCCCCCTCCCACATCTGCCCCTATGTACAGTCACTCTGCAGCACTCGCCTTCATACCGAGCAACAGTTTTCAGCAGCTTCAGCCAGCATTTAAGGCACAGCTCTTTCTTTAAAATGTGTCCAACAAAATTCTTTAATTTTCAGTGCCATCGCTTGCATTAACCCTTATTTCTAGGACAACGACAAAAATGAAATAGGGAAGAGAAAGACTTCTGAGTAAAGGATGGGCCACTGCACTGGCTTGTCGTCCGCTGCTGGGCAGATCCCAATTAATTACTTCTGCTATTACTGCTCACGTTCAGAAAACAGGTTTACGGGAGCGGCCTAGCAGCCTTTCTGTTGGTTCACGTTTTAATTGCAATGCTCTGCATGTCATATTGTGCTCAGCACTAAATGAGCAGATGATGTGAAATCCCTGGTATGAGGGAATTGCTCCCCTGTGCCAGCTGCCTCTGTGGCTTGATTTTATACAACTTGCAGTCTCATATGGATTTAAGTATTTATCTTCAGACAACCCACAGTAAAATGTAGCAAGGGAAACGAAGATTTGAGAAACATTTTTTAGCAGGACTTGCCCTCATGGCGATTCCTGGGCTTTTGTGTGGTTGTTTTCAGTTAACACAGTTGTCTGGTTATTCTTCTCCGTGTGCATTTCCATTTCTATAGGGCTTCCCCTGTCTGTGCAGGGGAGGAGGGGATGGGCGGTGGCCGGGCGGTCAGGATGGCTCTGGTTAACCTTCCTGGCTCCGCACAGCCGGCCTGAGTCCTTCTGCTTACACGGCAGCGTCTCTCAGATCTCGGAGGGGAATTATTTTTAGACCACGAAGGTGTATCTGGCTGGTGCATTTACATTTCATGTCATGGCTTCCTTTTCCTGCTCTCAGGTTTCTCCCACTCGGCCTTCACCTTCGGTATTGAGAGCCACATCAGCCAGTCCAACATCAACGGAACACTAGTGCCACCTGCCGCACTCATCTCCATCCTCCAGAAGGGGCTCCAGTATGTGGAGGCTGAGATCAGCATCAACGAAGTAAGTAACCCCAGCACCCCTGGCGTGGCTGACCAGCACCCCGGGGCTTGCCAAGCAGTGTGTCCTGACAGCCTGGAGGCACAAACCATTGCCATGGTTTCTCTTCATCTGGTTTCATTTCGTTCTTCGTGTTTTGCCCCATCTGTAGCTGAGACCTGAAAAGCTCTGAGATAGATACATATTTCAATTTTAGCTGTGACATTAGGGCCTTCTATTTGCTGCTTAAATTGATATTAATAGGGTTTCTGCTACCCCAGTCAACAAATCCAAGGTGCACAGATTCTTGCAGCAAACAGGAAAATGTGTCTGTTTATGGTCTTGCATTTTCAAGGTCACAGCAGAATTTAACAGGAAAAGCCTGTAGTGTATGTTAAAACTTCACTCTGTCACCTGCTAGTAGACAGCACTGCTTGCAAACTGTAAGGAGCCTGATCAAAAACCTTCAGAGATTACTGGAGAGATTCTGTCTGATTTCAGTGACTTTGGTGCATCTCACCAGACCAGGCATCAGCCTCTCATGTACTTGGCAAAACAGTTGTGTGTAAATTCTGACTCTGACTGGGGCACTGTTTCTCTCTGGGGATTGTATGAGCAGCCACAAAGTGTCTGTGTTCTCCTTGAACTGCCAGGGGATGCAAAGAGGGGATATGGGAAAAGCCAGCATTTTTGCCCTACCAACCTTAAAGCCATAATGCTTCTAGAGGCAATGAAGCATAACAGATAAGCAAGTACTGCTTTACAAAATATTTACCATAGATATTCATAATTGACAGAGATCTGTAACAAATATTAGTACTTTAAAAGCTATTGCTTTTTCCTCTGTAGCAGAATGTAGCGTGTGAACAACATGAGCAAGAACAAAGGAATGTAAAACAGAGAAAAGCTTGTGTTGTTTGCAATGTGTAGTTTGGAAACCCATTTGTTTTTATCACTAACATTCTGTGTGTTTTTCTTTTTATGACCTGATACTGTATTTAAGACTCGTGTGTGTGTTATTTTTTAATTGAGACAATGACATTTGACATTCATGCCAAGTTGTGCTTTTGCACTTTGATGCAGTTGTAGTAACCAACCATTGGTAGGAATCTGTCCCAATTTGCTGCTACTTAACATTGCACCCTGGACCTGAAATTGGAGCTGCACAGCTAGAAACTTTCAACCATGAACAGCACCTATCAGCTCGGGTCATGTGACAGCAGTGGAATCTGCTCCTGTGCATCCATCTCCAAAGTTGGCCTCAGTTGCAAGGGTAGTGGAAAAATACATGTTTTGTCACTATGAAGATGTTGCTCTCACTGTTGGATTCTGTTTAAATACATACCGTTAAGTATATTACAGTGAAGCAAAGGCCATTCTTGTTCTGTCTGAATGCCAATGAGGGCTACATATATGCTTATCTGTGTGTTACTTGTCTACGTTTATTACTTAATTACTCATTACAGGTGAGTACTCAGCGAGTCCACAGACTCGTGTATACAATTATTGTTTGTGAGCTGTGAAACGCAGTCATGCGAATAGCCCAGTGAGCAGTTTTACAGTTAAAAGTATAAGTTAGAAATCCATTGACAAACATTCTTTTCATTGTGTAGCAAGGATTTGAGCCAGAATTCAAGTAAGTGTTGGTAGAATCATTTACATTAAATATGTTGAGGAGAAAGCTTATATTTTTCTTCTCTAATGACTTTTCTCCTTTGCAAGGGGTAATCCAATGACTAGTCCAACAGAAGCATTCTAGTCAGCCAAACAGCTATTTTTCTTTATTAGTTATTGTTATATATTGAAAATAATATTATTACCCAGCTATTTCTTTTATCCATGTCCTAGCCTTACCTGCTGCTACTGAAACAGAGATTTTTCAGTGCTGGGTCTTGATTATTTCAGAGAATTAAAGGGAGTTTGCAGAAGATCAGTGAAACAGCATTTTCCGAAGGCTACTAAAACCTTTGTCATACATTTAAGGTAATAGAAAAGTGAAGCAAAGCTAAGTAGATATAGCAGTTGTTGACCTGAGTCTGTATTAAGTCTTAAAAAACAGCTCTTAAAGGTCAACTGAACTGGTTGTTGAACCTGGAGCCTAATTTACATAAATCAAAATGAAAGCCATAACTATTATGAATAAAATTAGCGTAATAAAGAAAAAATAATTGCGAAGCAGTCCTGTACCATCAGCAACAACTGGTGGTGCTGGGCTGATGAACACCTTGCAAGAAACCGGTAAATTTGTGCATACATCTTGTTTTGGCTGAGGTTCATTGTTCTTCAGCTGATTTCATTCCTATGGCCCTGCAAGTGCAGGAAGATAAATAATTCAACCAAAGTTTATTGGCCTCTGTCATGGCTTTAGCCATGACTTTTTTTTCCAAATACAAAACAAAGATAAACTTTGTATCATCAGTCAGACTTTTGTTGTTGTTGTTGTTTTTTCCCCCACATCATAATTTTTTGCATCTGTAATGATTTTGTATGCCTGAATTTTCCACAAAATTAAAATAAATGGCATATTTACTGAACAGATTCCCAAGTGGAATATGTGTACCACTGTCATGGATCTGAGAGAGAGACGGTCCATAGTACATGGGGCTCTGCTGGTTAAGTCAAAATGTAGTATCTTCACACAACCTAGTTTTGTTTCTTTATATCAGTACGTCTTTGCTGACCTCAGTGGTGAAGATCCTAACCTCCCAGTTTGACTTCTGCTCATTTTCCCTGCAGGATGGCACAGTGTTTGACGGCAGGCCGATAGAATCCCTGTCTCTGATAGACGCAGTGATGCCTGATGTAGTTCAGACCCGGCAGCAAGCCTTCAGAGAGAAACTAGCCCAGCAACAAGCCACTGCAGCAGCAGCAGCAGCAGCAACGGCAGCGACAGCGGGAGCAACGACGACTGCTGTTTCCCAGCAGAACACACCAAAGAACGGAGAAGCCACTGTGAATGGAGAGGAGAATGGGGCACATGCAATAAGTAAGCCAACGCATGCCACTTCATGGCACTACTGGGCAATTGGAGTTTCAATAGTATTCTTGTACTTGGTGTCTGCTAGGCGATGGAACTCATGGAAATAGTTTCAGGAGTCGGGCAAGGTGTTTCTAGAAAGGCTGCTGAATGGAAATCACACTTCATGTCACAGTGCTGTGTTTTACTGTTGACCTTGCGGAATCCAAAAACTCTAGATATCTTCAAAACTGCAAGGCGAAGACAATATCAAGAGGTGGAGCTGTATGTTCTCTCCTTGAAGCAGGCTACCTAGACATCATTAATACTATCAGCTTTATAGGTGCTTTTAGGTATTTCTTTAAAGTTGAAACAAGCTGTAGCCACAGTTGGTCATTTTGGCCAGGCCAGGAGAAAGATGGATTGAGAGACTCGGACCTACAAGCTGTGTCTGTGTAAATGAAGCATGGCCAGAGCATGGCCTTGAGCACTGTCCTGTGATCATCCATAGCCTTGGCATGGTCCTTGGCACAGTTGGGCCTATACCAGCTATCCGTTATTTTACAGCATGGCCAAGCACAGGATCATCCATAGCCTCTTTGGCATGGTTCTTGGCCCAGTTGATCCTGTACCAGCTATCCATTCTTGGACAGCAATGCCAAGCAGAGGAGAGAGAGTTGCATGTGCCAATGACCATCCCAGCAGACAGCTCGGATACAGCCAAGCTGTCTTGAAGGGACAGAGGAAAGGGTTCCTTACCTTTTTATTTAATAGGGGCTCCAGGAAAACTGGGGAGGGGCTTTGGACAAAGGCAGGGAGGGATGGGATGAGGGGGAACGGTTTCAAGCTGGGAGAGGGGAGATGTTGATTGGATATTAGGCAGAAATTCTTTACTGTGGGGGTTGTGAGACACTGGAACAGGTTGCTCAGAGAAGCTGTGGCTGCTCCATCCCTGGAAGAGTTAAAGGGAAGGTTGGATGGGGCTCTGAGCAATGTGGTCTAGTGGGAAGTGTCTCTGCTTATGCAGGGGGTTAGGACTAGATGATCTTTAAGGTTCTTTCTAACCCAAACTATTCTATGATAGCACATGCTTAGTCATACAGTCCGCTGCAGATACCTAATTGAAGGTCCTACCATCACGAGATTTCCTTAGTCTATGAGAACAACATGTTCTCCAGACCTCTGAGTTCACCTTCGTTTTTTAGTGACAGTATAAACTGCACTCATACCTTGGACATCTGAAGTCAGACATATAAAAAAAGGAACAGACATACCTGCTTGTGTAAAAAAAGGAACAGACATACCTGCTTGTGTAACTGGTTCTTGACGACTGGGCTAACATTGTTGGGCAGATATGATTAATGGTTCTGGTTTCTGTGTGCAAGCCATATTAGGGCACTGGCTAACTTCTGAAAGGAGACCTTAGTGCCTGATTGCCTTCCAAGGAAATTCTAGAGGAACGTGAACGATAGGTTTTGTCTGAAGTCCCAACAGTTCTTTGGCAACAGTCAGGACTGTAGTCATATAACAGATTTTATTTGTTCTGCAGTGTAGATAAGATACCTTTATCAGTCTCTATCTTATCTTTGATCTAAATAGATTCCTCTGTGGGTCAGGGAGAAAAATGTTTTCAAATCACGTTTTTCTTCAGAGAATTCCAGTTAGACAGGATAATTTCCCCTAATAAAACTATAATTATTTAAATTAAAATTTTCATTTGAGAAAACAATTGTAAAAAGGTTCTGGAAAATTTAAAAATATTAATCTATTTTTGGACTATGGACTGATTATGTTTTACTTCTAACTGACCCTTTGTTTTGAAATTGAATTTTTATGTGCAGGGGTGCAAACAGAAAAAAAAGCACTTTCAAATGTATCTAATGCTGACATTTTGTTTGTTGACACTTTCCTTAAGCTGATTTGTGACTATTTTGGGGGAATGTCTTCCTGTCCAAGGACCAAATAAACCCATATTCTTAAGGTAGAAAACTGATTATTGGTCTATCCGTACAGAACTGCTTAGACTTATGTTTTTCTCATCTGAAGAAATGCACATACTATCATTTCAATAAAAGGAAAGCCTTGCAGATCAGTTCAGATATATGACCACACTGTAAGCCTTGATTTCTCAAATCTGCCATTTTCTTATTAAAAATAATAATTCTCACAGCCATTTTTAATGGAAAGATATTCACAAACAGTTGCAGATCTTTCTTGGAATGTAGAGTAGGAAAAGTCCTGTATGACCTAATATCATCTAGTGTTTGGAGCATGATACAAGAACATGATACTGTGTTGTCTCATGAAATTTCACAGAGGTGTAGGATACATGTTAACCCATACTCTGCCACACATCAAATTTCAAAGCATTACTGTGGCTAAGCAGCCTACCAGGCAGACTAGTTAACTGAACAGTGGCAATAGGAAGACAGAAAGTCTCTGAGGAGTAGGTGGCCAGCTGGCATATGTTGGCAGCTGCTGTTGTGCCAGTTGGTCATCCAGGGTGAAGAGGTGATCTTGGCAATTGTGAGGAGAAGGAGGCTTCAAGGAAAAGCTGCAGAGAAATCCAAGGACAGCCAACTGCCTTACCCATGTGCCTCCCTTGCTTTGGGAGGTCAGTAACTTTTCTGTCTGAGGCTTTCGGAGGATATCAACAAGATGGTGCAGCACAACTGCAGATGGGGATTATACATGGGAGATGCACACAGAACTGCAGAACTGGCATTCTCACCCTTGAACACACCTATTTAAATAAACTCCAAAAGATCTGCCGTCATAATTCTCGGAAAACGCTTAAGACTAACAAATCTAGCCAACAATTTACTGCATAGGTCTGAGTAACACAATTGTATCTTTCTCTCTTGTGGTAAAGTTAGAAAAACATAGTTATGTTAATGAAATAACAAAAGAGTCTTCCCTTTCCTTTTCATTGCTTATGCAGGGCAAATTGTGTATCCAGCCTCACCTGTTCCCTTACCATTGTGTTCAGAGAGTCTGTTTAGTCTAGGACAGACTAAGGTGAAAGATCTGGCAAGAGCTTAGTTTAGGGCAAAAGGTTTAGGGAAGGATTGGGCAAAAGGTTAGGGTAGGGTGTAAGATGGGTAAGGTGAAAGCTGGGAGACCTACTGGGTAGGAGAGACTGTTAATAGGAAAGGCATGAGAAACTCCCCAGACCTTCATTTTCACTGTTATTGGACTCCACAGAACTGGCATATGCTGGGATTAATTTGGACAGTGTGCTTGTTAGTCCTTAACCATAACCTGTAAGTCACCTATATGTATCAACCTGTCAGAAAAAGGCAGGATGGGAGAAATGGGTGAAAGAGATGTCTTTGGGAAGCAACCTAGTTGGCATGTATTCTGACATGCAGTTCTCCCTGACACTAGCAGTCTTCCCAAAAAGTGTTTATATATTTAATATAATATGATTTTTTTTATATAGGTGATGTTATCAATATATTATGCTAGGGTGATATTGACTTCAGAAAGCAAAAAGACAGAAAAATAGCTAACAATAACAATAGTTCAATGTGCAGATTCAAGTACTAAATAAATAAAATTGCTGCCTTCTCTTTCTGCTTCCTGAGTAATGTTTTCAGCTTTGAGTCACTTTAAAAATTAGTAGGAAAAAAAAAAATATATATATAGAAATGGAGCCAAACTTTGGATTGTTTCCTAACTCAAATATTTTTAATGTTATTTATTTAATTATATTTGCAAGGATTGGCATGGTTTTAAGAAAAATAAAGCTCTTGAAAAAAGTCTGAGCCCAGTTCCTTTGTTATAACTAAAGTCATAAAGAACAACTTCAGTGAATGGGCTGTCAAAGATTTAAGTAGAAAACCACATTTCCTGAGAAAAGACAGAATTAGCACTTGTAACATCATAAAAAATTATCTTTTTAATTTGGAGAAAATAAAGACAGAGTTAATACTACTCACTGGTATATTAGTATAGCACAGACTTAACCAAAGATCCTCTGGCCTTTAGAAAATAGTTTGTGTTAACATTTGGACAGAGTACTCCATCCACCATGTCACTTGCAGACTGAAGTTTTTCACCTATGAGGATCTGTTGCACATGGTAGAACTGTCCTCTCTTTCCAAGACCCAGTCAGAGGTGTTTTTTTGCCAATGAGGCCTTAACTGAGAGCTTTCTGCTCTGAAGATACTTGGGGGAAAAAAGAAAAAGAAACCTATTATTGATGGTTACTACATCTTACTTACCTACTTATCCTCATTCCCCATGCACACCTTGTAGCAGCATCCATAGGAAGGCCAAATTTTCAGGTGAGACCAGGGCTCACAAGAGCACAGGCTGTGTAAAGAACTTGGGACTCTTATGAGGGTGCTGTCTTGTGCTTAGGGGTTTCTGCAGTATTTCCTTGTTACCATAATTGTAGCTGGTTTACAGAATCAACTGCTGGTGCAAACAGGAAGAAAATGCATAGAATATGAAAATTTGTGAACAATTCCTGAAAGACTCCTTATCTTTCCCTCCCTTTTCTCCTGAACTGTCAAAGCTGTAGTGTCAAAATAATTATTGGAAGACAATAGAAAATAATCCTGCAGCTATTTCATTGCTCCCAGAGGTCAATCAGTCTTGCAGGTACTAATGCAGGTATCAGCCCATCAAGGTTTCTTTTTCACAGCATGACTATTTGTGTTTTTTTTCACACCAGTTAATAATGTTAAAAATGTGTATCTAAGTTCCTCCATCTGGCCACATACAAGCAAAAAATATTTCTGAGTATCAGATGGCCTTGCTCTGGTAGCACCTCATGACTCTGGGACCTTGGAGTAATGCTGCTTCCAAGCTGTCATTTGGTTTTATTAGAGGGTGAAAATCAGCTCTGCCCTCAGAGCCAGGCAGGTAACAGCAGGATCATATGTGGTAAGGGTAGCATCTCATTTAAATTTTTAAAATTAAAGCACTTGGAAGATCTTGCTTCTTGATTTAGCCTCAGCTTCCCATTCAACAGGACACAGATGAATGCATAGCCATTGCCGTGCTGCTGCTTTTCTCATTAAAATATGCTACTTCTTGATTTAGCCTCAGCTTCCCACTCCCACTGTGAACAGGACACAGATGAATGCATAGCCATTACCGTGCTGCTGCTTTTCTCATTAAAATATGCTTTAAACTTGGTGATTCTGTGCTGAGAAACAGAGGATTAAGAGTTCTAGATTCTCATCTTCTGGTGGGTTTTTATAGTGCTTTGCTCTTCAGTACCCTGATTGTTTCAGTATATCATATCAAAGTTCCCAGCTGCTGGAGTCAGCCTAAATCTGGACTGCTCGTATAACTTCAATAGTATTCATTTTAGTAGTTACACACATAGGGAATTATCAATGGCAATGCTTAACATAGGGACCCAGCGTAGGTGTAGATTTTACAAATAGGCATTTATAATATGTTTAGTTTTATGCAACAAGTCTTATCGGTCATAAGTGTAGTTAAAAATATAGATATTTTGAATGTGAGCTGTGAAACTACTGTTAGTTATTTTCTAATTTGGATACTCAGTGCTGTGCAACTCATTGAATTGCATGTGAATTCCATTCCATGCCACCTGTGGTGTAGAGATAGCAGACATAGTTAATAGGGTACCTCATCAAATATGCAATGAGAAGGGCTACTTGTGTGACTCAGCTTAAATTAGGCAGAACAAAATGGGATATTTGAAAGCTTGGGTAAGGGTAGGAATCTGGAGATCTTCCTTGTGATGGAAGTTGTGCAGTTTCACAGTCTGTTTTGCCAGTCAATCAGCAATAGCTCAGCAGAGCTTGAGTATCAGGGCAGATGGCTGATTTTAAATGCCATAAACAGGTGGCAATAACGGAACATAATTATTCCACTTGAGAACCTATGGATCTCCATATGTGATTAAAGAATGACTAACTAAAATACTAAACCCAGAATGAGAACTTGGATTCTGATCAATCAGAGCAGATCAGCTGGCAAAGGCATTGATTAGGTAACACGAGGCTGCCTTTGCCCCATATCTGCTGTTGGATGTGCTTTCTGTGAAACGGGCCACGCTTCTGTGGGAAACATCTGCTGTCTGCTCCTTCAGTGTGTTACCTGTCCTTGATTGGTGTCTTGTTCACAGAGGAGAATAACCTTGTATTGCTGCCAGGAAGTGTAGTTTGAGCTGAATGAGGAAGATTTATACTGAAGCAATGAAAATCTGGAGTGAAAACATGGTTCATGATGCAAATTGGAATGAATTGCTGCCACTAAGAGAAATTAATCATTTTAAATTCACTTTTTTTCCCTTAAGGAAATAAAAGAGCTTTATAAAAACAAAGTTACTTAGACTGCAGTCTAAAGAATCCCAGAATTACAGCATGCAGGTTAAGTAAATGCCTCAGTTGGTACCTTTGCATATATTATGGTACCCTTGAGAGGTGATTACTCACCGCTTCCCTGCAGTGCTCAGGGAATGAGGCCCTTACTCAGTATATTCTTCATCTGTGAGTAGCACGTGTATTACTCACAGGATGCTGTGTAAGAAAACGTGCATTCTGTACATTACTTTTTTACAAGAACAGCATAAAGCTTTTCTCGCATGTGACAATCTGCTATTTTAATAGATCTCTAAGTCCTTTTAAATTAAGCCAGTTTAAAAAACCAAACACTGTAATGAAATATTAATGCTCTTTTTTTTTTTTTTTTTTTTAGAAAAGCTACATACATTTATAGAAAATATTTTTAAAAGGTTACATTTTGAGGAAATGTCATAAATTTGAACCATAGGAAAGAATATAAATATGATCACTGACACAATACAGAATATTCTTTATAGTGTATACATTGCTGTAAGCTTTAGGCCATGGGTAACCAGCTTGTTTTTGAAGCAGACCTAACAGCATATTGCAAACTTTATTCTGATCTATCTCCTTACAGATAATCATTCAAAGCCAATGGAAATTGATGGGGATGTTGAAATTCCTCCTAACAAAGCAACAGTCCTTCGGGGCCATGAATCAGAGGTGTTCATCTGTGCCTGGAACCCTGTCAGTGACCTGCTAGCATCTGGGTAAGACCATGATTAAAACCAGCTGCTTCAATTAGAGTACATCTAGAGATGCAAGAACTTGAGAATGTATACTAGAGATTAATAAGTATTATCTTCACTGTTGTTTCAGCCTGCAACTGTTTTTTTTCAGCAATACTGTACCAATGTAGGAGTTAAGTAATTATAAGGTGACACAGAACCTGCCCATTTAAGATGTGAACTTTATGGCCGTAAATACACATAATTTTTAAAGGTTTTTTAAGTATCTATGTATAATTCTCAGAGTATTTGAAGTTGTAATCTGCTCCCACTTCTCTTAGTTAATGGTTCACATTGGGGTCTCAGAAGGTATTTGGCGTCCAAGTTTTGTTTTTAGAAGTATGGAAACACCAAAAGAGTTTTCTTTGGCAGTGTCTGCATAGGCGTGGTGCAGCACAAAGAGAACTGAATCTGTAAAGCAAAGCCGTTGTGCAGGGACCTTATGTTACCTTTGTATTGGTTTGTACTGAGGGCAGAGAGGGAGCTTCAGGCTGGACCTAGTTTTGTCCCGTGAGCTGATCATGAGGGCATGTTTTGATTTACAGTGATTGGAAAGGAGTCTAGTTTGTGTTCTCCAGGACTGCTTGGCAATGATAACGGAAGCATGGTAAGTGAGTCAGGAGATTGACCTATAAAAAGAGCTTTTGATCCAAACAAAAATGCTAATATAAACATACCCCAAAAGCTCTGTGTATGCTGTTGTAATCAGTGTTTGCTCATGCTTAAAGTTAAACCTTAAAATGAAGACTGAATTTACAAAGTCTAAATGGGCACATGGAGGAAAGCCGATAAAAGTTAGAGGAGAGAAGTGGGTCTCTATCACTTAAAGTTACCTGACAGTATCAATACAGTTATTACAGGAAAAGTCCTTATTTTATTTTCAACTTTTTGTATTATTGTCAGAATAGTCTTCTTATGAGATCTTAGTTGACTTAATACATAGAAGACAAGGAAAGTGCAAATGGGACACACTACGTAGGAAAAATAAATGTCATTAGCAGAAATTAGTATCAGGTTGGATAAAACAGTGTAAGATCTCTAAGAGACTGAAGACAGTAGTTTCCAAAGAATAATTTCAGACAACAAACTTCCTGAAAACAGAATCCTTCTGAATACACGTTGTTTCTGCCATGCCCAAGCCTGTTAGTACTTCTATCATCTATAGCGTTTATTCATTCTAAATGGGCATAGCAGTAAATCTTACAAAGGCTGTATGTTGGTGTTTTGGAAGAAAACCTTTGGTTTTCAGCTCTTTTTCCTGTAGGCTCAGTGGTTCTTCTGGTTTGTCATAGCGTCCCTGGGTGATGCCACAGTACAGACAAGAGCAGGAATAGCAGCCATGCTCCTATGTCATGCATTTGTTGTATTTTCTGCTACCCGTATTCCTCTACCCACTCAGTGTTCTAGCATCTCAGGCAGTATTGCTTGGTGGTATTACTATCCCTAGCAAATTAACTATTCTTAAAGGGAGTCCTGGGTGTCATTTAAGGGAAGTTGTGATAATTCAGACCAGTGACCAGTTAAAATAGGCAAGCATAAACCAGTTATTTCACACAGATCGTCTTCTTTCCAGCATAAAGTTGAGTGAAAACAAAAATAAAATAAATAAAAATAAAACAAGATTTATTTAATTTATAATAAAATAAACATGGAATGAATATGGAAGGACTGTAGCATGTGATATTCCTGAATTGTCCTAGCCCAAATTTGAGTGGGTGTTTACAAGGAAAAAAATTAAGAATCAAAGGAAAGCAAGGAGTCAGTGGTGTGCATGATATGTTACTGCCTACATAACCATTTGTAAATCAACATCAAACGATACTGAGCAAACATGCTCCTGTACTACTCCTCTAACTTTTAAAAGTATGCCTAAATGCTTTGACTACCAGTAAATATTAAATGATGGCCTCATCGTGAAGAAAACCTCAAAAACAAAGAAGAATTTAGGTAACCTGATTATATGTTTTTGTCTTATTAAAGATTAAAGTCTAGAGAAGCCTTCATAAAATCTGGGATAATTTTCCCATAGTGGGGGCAAACTTTATTACAATTTCATAGACTGTCTTGAGATGAATAGGTTGTGAATACTTTATTTACCATCTTAAAAATGAAGGAACTGTATTTGGTGATAGAATAGATGTCCATTAGCGCTGTCATCCTAAACCATAACTTTTTAATAGTAAACTTATCCATTATCTTACTTATTTTATTTATATGGAGAACAGTCTTCAGGTGAGCAGTTAACACACCCACATTATTATCTAAAGGAAAACAGGTGAGGAGACAGAAAACCATAGAAAATTATTCTTTAGGGACATCTGGTGGCACCTGAGATGAAGTGAAGATGCTGCTTTATTCTGGAGAATATTCAGCACAGCTGAAATTAGGCATCTACTCAAGTGCTTTGTCCCTCTGCAGGGACCTGTATCTCTCAACTCATTACACAGAGATTCAAGACTCCTAAGTGTGGGTGCTCAGATCTTATCTGTTTGCTTTATCATTGGTGACTGCTTCCCAGTATCTGACTCGCCTCCCTGCCAGTGCTTGCCATATGGTTCCGCTTCCCCAGGATCTGTGATTCACAGTCCTAGTGTGCATCGTTCCAACCATGTTTAATAAGCCAGGGTATGTACTGCAGTGACTGAGGAACCAGAGGGTGTTCAACTTTGCTGTGGGTTCTAAGCACTGGTAGTTGGATCCCTGGGACAGTGGTATCTTAGACAGCCTCAGGTAAACCTGCAGGATGATAATCAGAACCGTCAGGTGTCTAAGGCAGAGGAGCACCCTTTATCCTTCAACATAATAGGACTTTATTAATAGGCTTTGCTACTGATTTTGGAAGTATATAAATACATGGGGCTAGAAACGACAGTCAGGTGCTGTGTCCCATGCAGACTAATGACAATGCAAGAAAAATGCAGATCACTCAGATTCATGTGCGTCTTCATCAGATTTCAGTCTACTCATAAGAAACAAAGTATGTGATGCAGTTAGCCTTTGGGTAATGGCAGCAGTGAGCATCTGAGGAAGTTTAAATGACTGAAATGGCATAGCATGCACAGCAAAAAATTAAACTGAAGGAAAAGAGCTGATTGTCCGATTATGCCATTGCACAGTGTTTGAGCTGTCTGATATAATGTTAGTGCAAACTATCATCTCTAGAAAAACTGTGTGTTATGGCACCAATTAAACAAGGAGAAGCAATTCCCCAAATCTGCATATGCTGCTGTGGGAAACTGTTTTCTTCCCCTTTACAAATAAAGCTTCAAAAAAAAGAAAGCTACAGTTAGTCTGATGTGCAGACACAGAATTGATATGCTCTGTAACAGCCATATTGTGCTGCCCAGTCCATAGTTTTCTTGTTTTCCCATCTGCCTGATGTTACCCATCTGCTGTCTTTTTAAAAAAATACATATAAAGACCTAACTGTTAAATAAGGAAAAGAACACTTTTGTTCTGTTTATGCAGTTCCTAGCACAATCAAATCTCAAATCGTGGCAAAGTATTTTCTTCAAGCCTTGTTATACAAGCAATACATTTTTCTAACAATTAGTGGCAATTTAGACAGCAACCTAATATAAAAAAATAATGCAGGTTCTCAACCTAATCTGAAGCAAACTATGTAAGGGGATTTGTTTGCAGAATGATTTGCCCAAAACCAGAGCATTGGTTTCCAGATTAAGTATCCCAGTGACAGAAAGAGATTTTGATATTTTATGGATTTTGCAGAGGGCTGTTTGTATTTTAAAAATCAAAACAAAAAAAAACCCAACAACCAGTAGTGGAGACAGGAATTTCTGTGACCAAATAGCCATAAAAATATATTCTGCAGCTGCCTTTTCTCTTCCACCACCTTCTAACCCTTAAATTGGAGGATGGAGGAGACTAGAGGTACTAGTAAAGGCTATCCCAGGCATTACTGTTGCCAGAATCTTGTGAGAAGAATGCTTAGATACTATGAACAGAAACATTAGAATGGTAACGTGCATGAATTCAGCCATGTAAGAGAATTATGAAAGAAATCAACATTCCAAAACAAATAAATGCACATATTGTTTTCGACAGGTGAAAAAAATAAATAAATAGGTGCTTCGCCAATTGTGAAGATTTGGTCATTTTCAGCCATAATTCCAGTTTTGCTCTTAAAATCCAATAGTCCTTCTCTTCATCGACTGATTTCTTCCATGAGATATCTTTCAGTATTTCAGTTTTAATTTTGTGACACATGTAAATTATTACAGATGGCTATGTTACCTGAGTAGTGCAGAAACCTATTACAGCTACATCCACATTAGTAAGCTAATCATGCCTGGGAATATTCCTAGACACTGAGGCCAGCTGGCAGAGGACGGTCAGTATCCGTGCTAGCAAACTGTCCAGGCTGCCAAATAAACTGCACACTGGGAATTGTCCCTAGACCATTGTAACCACCAAGTCATGCTCAGGAGTTATTCAGAGAGAATGTCAGGGCCCTGAGCAAGAGTGCTAATTAAAACAGGCCAGAGTCTGGACAGGGAATAACCTGTCAGTTTGCTAGCATAGGTGATCATGGTCCAGTGACCCCAAATGTTCCTGAACATGTTTGAATTTCCCAGCATGGAAATACACCTGTGAGTGTCAAGGTTGCTGAAGCCTTGAACTCCGGAATACATGAGCAATATTGCATATCAAAATAACAGTGATTATAAGATTTACAGCTGAAAATTAGAAATAACCAAGATTCAACAACCATCTTGCAAAATTCTTTACCCAACTGCAGCTATTTTAACCTCTCCACTGACAGTTACAGAATAGGGATTTTATATGTGACAAATAAAATTCTGCAAACATTTGTCCATCTTGATTCATTATTATGCTGGGGATGGAGAGCATGAAATAAAATTCTTTCAGAACTAAGCCTTCCTAAAATTTGGCACTACTCTGCCACAGTGCAGAACAGTATACCTATTACTCAAGTGTTCATGACTTGCATGTTAGAATGAGCTGCTTTATCATGCAGATAGAAATGCTTCTGTGGGCTAAGGAAATTAAATATCTTTCTGAATTGTGCTTGAACTATGGTCTTCTAATAAGGCAGGGTTCACTGAATCATTCAACAGAAATCAGAATACTTTCCAGAGCAGAGAATACTCTGGAGTTTTTTTCCCAGCAACAAAAGGGAAGACACATAAATACCCTTGCCACACACTGGTAGGCTTATAAAGCGGCTCTGCAGGGACACATAATGGCTTATGTAGCCTTAGGAAGAAGAAAATGGAAAAACAAAATTAAAATAGTAGAAAATAAGATTGCTCAAGCATCACCAGAGAACTGACTAAGTAAAACTGTTGAAAAACAAAACATAACCCTTTTAGAACTAGCAAATAGGATATTGTGTTTGATAGCCAAGTAGCTGAGTACTTTATTCACATGGTCCAATAACAAACTGGATTATTACAATGAGGGCAGGACTGGCCCACAGCAGAGAAGCCAGCACTGAAGGAATTTACTACTTAGCATGTTAACAAATAACACAAACCTGTGAAAGACTTCTGTTCCTGTTATTATAAATTATCACAACTAAAAATGTTCCCTAAATTCTAAGCCTTATTATTAACCTTTTTCATTTTCTAGCCAACATGCAAAATTGTTTGCTTTTCCAGACTTCTGTAGAAATAAGGAGTCATTTTACAGCTACAGATTTATGCAAAGTGAAAATAAAGATACTATTTATAAGCAGATTATGATAAACTCTTAAATTCCTCCTCACAAGTTTTTCTACAAAAAATTGGGGGTTTCAATCTGCACTAAAAACATCTCCCTAGTAAATATGTGGTCTATAAAATAGATTAAAATCCTGATGCTGTCTCCATCTTGCTCTGTTATGTCAGTAGTTATTTTGTCACTTTTTCAGACAATGTCAGCTAAGCAGACAAGCTACAGACCCTGTAGATGTGTTTTAAAAATTAAGATTAATTTTTAAAATTAATTTAAATTACCTTTCTACTTTCCCAATCTTTAGCTTCTGTAGCTTGATTTAATGCTGAGAGGCAGTTTTACAAACAACCTCTGTAAGAGGCTACATTCTGGTCTGTCCTGAACAGTACCTTAAGAAAGGGCCATGGTCAAATTCAAGTCTTGAGTTCACCTCCTGCTCCTGCAGGAGCTGCCAGAGGAACCCATGTAGGAGCAGGGCACTGGCACCACAGTACCTTGGTCACACTGCTAGAGGTCCCCTTTCCCAGGGCTGCTGCCCAGGTGACACTCCACACCTCTGGAGGCGGTGACCCCACAAGTCCTGTGTGCCTTGTTGAGGTACTGCAGCTCTGGGAGGCACCTCGGCACAGCCTTTGTGTTTCTGTCCTTATTTGGATCAATGTTAGGTTCCCCCAGAGTATCTTAGTTGTGGTGGTAACAACTTTATGTATCCAGTGCAAAATGTAGAGAGCTAGTAAATGTCTTGTAGGTAAAACTTTTCCGAATAAAGCAAGTTGTGACGTGGCTTCAGCTGGTATGTATAATTTAGAAATGTGATTGCATTTTATAAAAAGTTCAGGGAGTGCAGGAAGGGCAGAACTGGAAAGGAAAATTGCATTTTAAAAGCTCTGATGTTCTCTCAATGAAAACAGAAATAGAGGTTTTTACTTTGTTTGCTAGGTTGACACTGACAGGAGTTTTTATCTCTGGACAATTTCTTTTATAGATCCGGAGACTCAACGGCCAGAATATGGAATCTCAATGAAAACAGCAACAGTGGTTCCACTCAACTAGTTTTGAGGCACTGCATAAGAGAAGGAGGACATGATGTCCCCAGCAATAAGGATGTGACTTCATTGGACTGGAATGTAAGCTAACTTTTAAGACTGTATAATTTTCAACTTTCTAAATTTAATTCAGAGGCAATTAAAGCTGCTGCTCTTTATCTTTTATATCTGAGGTGACCAGAAGCTCTGTCCTTACCTACTGACCTCTTGTTTCAAATACTCATAATAGACTGAACTTTCCCCTAAACGCTATAATTTTCCAGGACTCTTGCCATCTTCAAGCTCAATAATGATGTATTTATATCTCTGTTTTAGAAGCATGGGTAAAAATAAACTTAGCTAACTTTGAGAATGAAGATCGAACAAGCAATCTATGTAGTAATGAAACCTGATTAATAGTAGATTTTCATTTCATAGTTATTTTATTTTGGTATGTAAGGAGCTACAAGCACCAGTGAAGCTTTTTCTGAGGCTGGATAACTAGAACCCTCTCCCATTTCAATTATGATGTGCATAACAAAACATGCTCACATTATCATCTTTATCTTTGTAGGAAAATGTGTAGTCATTCTCTCTTTACCTGCCCACTTCTGGATGGAGCTGTCTTTCCTGATCTCTTTTTTACTTTGATCTTGCAAAACCTTCTATCTTAGATAATACAATCACAGAGAAGACTGAAGTGAGCAGAGAGGACAGGTATTGCTGAGAATCCAAAGTGTCTGGGCAGTGTCTCTGAGCAGCATTAAGGCTGCTTCATGTCTTCTTTCTGCCACAAAGCCTTGAAAAAAGAATGTGCAAGGCCTTGCAGGAACCTTAATTAATTTTGAGATCACTTGCCTTCTGTCTGTTTTGCTGATATTAGTACAGACAGAATGATGTCATTAGTCTTGTTTTCATAGGAAAACAGATTAAAAATTAAGTACCAGAAAGGAGTCTCAGCAGTTACATACAGGCTCAGTTGCTGGCTAGAGACCAAGATTTGATTAATCTTTGTTGCAATATTATTGTCCTTCAGGTGAGCTAGGTGCTTCACAAAAGTAAAAGATAAGGCCACTGCACAAATCAGCTTCCCCTATGTATTGTATATTTGACACAATGAAAGTTGATGAATAGTACTGAAAGCAGAGGTAGGTTAACAAAGCAGATAAAGATAAAACCCAAGAATATTCATTACTTGTTTCCTGTAGATATCACAGTGAAGAGAAATAGTTGGGAAAAACTGAACTGAGGAGTAGGAAAAGAATAATGGAAAGAGGAAAACAAACAAAGATGCAGATCCATGAGAAGAGTTGTCCTAAACATATAGGACATACTCTAGTATTTCCTGTAGTAGTTTCTTTCCTTTCCAGACTTCATAGATCACTAATGTTTCAATTGTATTGTGCTAGTACTTAAGGAAATGTTCCTAATTTAAACACTTGAAGTGCTCCCAACTTACTTTGGGTTTTCCAAAGAATGTGAAATACCATCAACAAATTTGAATAAACTCTACATCTAGTCCTTTAGCTTTCCTTACCTTTTGCTTTTAGTCTTACCACCTTTGTTCTCATCAGTGGTCCAGACAAGGGTAGATCACAGTGAAGCTGGCTTAGGTTTTTATATTTTTACGTAGACATCATTATACATCTGACTCACTGTTTTTGGAGATTTAGAGTGGAAGTATGTTTTAAAGGATTATTTTATGGTTTTTCCTAATTTTCTATTCATGATGCTAGAAATACCATCTGCCTTTATTGTTTATTTAGAACCATAATATTAATCATACTTCACTGTGAAATTTTCACACTGTATAAAATTGATTCCTCTCTGGTTTATGTGATTTATGTTATAATAAGAAAGATTATTTCTAGAGGCCATATTCAGATCATGTCCTTTCATCCCAAGAGCAGGATTCTTTTCCCTTAGAATTTACCATCTAAACTAGTCATCTAGACTCCCTCTAAGTCAGCAGAGACACGTGCCTTCATGCTGGTCTAGGCCGAGTCTAAAGCAAATCAGATAATGAATTACACTCCAGAGGTGGGTGATGCCCTTAGTTATAGAGGGAGACTAGATTACTCTCTTAAACTAACTCCTAACTTCTGGATGTCTGGAGATAAGTGGGGTGAATCTTGCTACATGAATCCATGTGCTGAAATGTTTAAAGACAACACCCAGCTCCAAGAGTTACCTGTCTCACCAGGTTGCAGAGTCAAGGTCCGTGTTAATGGTTCTCATTCTGTCCCAATAACTAGCATCATTGGCTGCACAGGAGGTATTCAGCAGAATGCATGGAATTTGCTGTTTACAACCCCTGTGCTCTTTTTCTCTTAACTAGGGCTCATGAATCCAGCTTTTGTCAGACTATCTATCATGGTGCAGTGCCTCTGAGCGCACTCCCTCAGGTGTGGCAGTCTGTTCAGACAAGTAGGAAGCAGCTTCTTTGTCGCAGAGAGCATTTGAAGTGTTAACCATGAGTGTAGGTGGCTGACCTGTTTAGGTTCTTCTGTCTAGTAGGGGTGCCTGAATTTCACTGAACTGGGATTTAGTCAGGATGTAGATTTATCTGATGGTATTTTGCAGGCTCTTTATGTCTAAGAAGAAGTATCTGTTTGCTATCTGGAAAAACCCCATAGAATTTGTTATATCTTGTTTTCTTTTTCTAATCCTTTTGAACAAGCTACTCTTTATCTGATGGTGTATCTTAGTATTTCACAGTATGCTCTAGAGTTTTATTTCCTCTTTGCTGTTTGCAGTAAGAACCTTTAGTTTAAATCATAGTGTAACCTCTCTCAATGTGTGGATTCAGATTTCCTATCAATCACAATGCAAAAACTTTAAAAAAAAAAAAAAAAAGTAAAGAAAATAAAAAGGTTGGTTGAAACAGATTTTACCCAGTATCAACATTTACCATTTTTATGTATCCTAACAGAGTGATGGAACACTATTGGCTACAGGCTCTTATGATGGTTTTGCAAGAATATGGACAGAAGATGGTAGGTCACAACATTTATTGTTCATAAGCATTAAAGAGCAGTGAACTGTAATTTGGCTAATTTTTAAACAAATTGTAATATTAACCTTTTCTTTATTCCAGGTAACCTTGCAAGCACCTTAGGTCAACATAAAGGTCCAATATTCGCCCTGAAATGGAACAAAAAGGGGAATTATATTTTAAGTGCTGGTGTTGATAAAGTGAGTTTTGGAAGTATACCATTCTAACATATAAATGTGCCAACTCAGTGAGCTTGTGCTGCTGAATTTCATGAGATTATTTTCTTCTCCTCCAGGTATCCTGGAGAGTTTACTTTTCTTCAGTGTGTTTTAGTACATGTTGATTACATTTTTGAGGCTGCATAAATGTGTGATATTTTTATTTAAAAGATTTCACTTTTTTAAAAACACAAAAACTTCACTTGCCCCTTGTGTAAAATTGCATCTTAAATGTTTCTCAGCTAAGTAAAGAACTGCTTCCACTACTTATGATTATAGTTTTATCAACAAACTATTTCCAGGAAGGAAGTGATCTTAAAGATACTTGACCTTTTAGTTCATCTAATTATTGAAACACTTGTATTTTAATAAAATATATACGGCTTCCTATGCAAATATGCCCAAAATGGTAATTCTGAACCCCAAATCAAGCAGTAGTTTCAACTGAGTGCATATTAGAAATTAAAATGAACAGATGACTGCTGCTGATGAGCACAAATGCATTAAAACTGAAACTGGAAAGTACACAGCATTCATCTTGCCAGACTTTTGATGTCTAAAAATTAGGTGTGTATGTCATCTTTTACTTCCTTTATAAAATTCAGAGAAAAATAGCACTTCCAAGTGGTGGGTTGCGTGGCCTATTTTGCAATGAGATGCACTGACAGTGCTGTTTTCTAGCTATTGACAGAGGGGTGTGTAGGGA